AAGATGTTGAGTGGATTCAAATGAACCAGTGTGAATAAGACATGAATACAGTGCCAATCTCTTAATAGGCACTTAATATATGATAGCAATATATGTATGTTTACAAATGTGACATGTCACATGACATGACACATCACATTTTTATGACATATTTGACCTATGCATCACAGGACATTTAAAAATACACATGTATGTAACATAATGACTTATGTCTAATCATCAAATATAGTGAAAAATTCTATAATGTTGGCCTATCATATGATTTAAACATCTTAGATTAATCCTTTATACAGGATATAACCCATTCATATGTCAATTACTATTTCCCAATTTTACCTATTATGAAAGGAGGACTGCTTTATAAAGAAGTTTGAGAATGTAGTAGGCTGGGGCAAGCATGGCTTTTAGAATCAGATCTGGTTTGATACAACTTACCTGATTAGAAGCTAAATGTACTTGGGAGTTAAGCAACCTCTGTAAACCTTAGTTTTCAGCTGTTAAATGGGGGATATTTAATACTATTTACAACTATTAAGAATTAGGTAATGTGTGGATGTCCCTTGTCCATACTAGAAGCTCAATAAATATTAATTTCTCTCTCCAATGTACATAGCTGTCTTTATGTTATTTTGAAGGGAGAGAATTTCTATAAAAGTTTGTGCCCAGTTAATTCCAAATGGTAAGCTGAATGGTGTGTTAATGGTGGAAGTGAAGAGTGTGTTCTCTTAAGTTCCTAGAGCAGCCACACAGGGCACCCACAATAAATGTAATCTATCATTTAAGATAGAGACACCCTTACAGAACCAGTCACTGGTAAAATCTAGGACTAGCTAAGGTGGGCCACCTGACATAATAGGAAGACATGGACAATTTGACCTTGCTGCATTCCCTTTTCAGATAGATGGACAGTCATGAGTTTTCCAGTCTTTCATAAAGATAACTACTTTCTATACATGAACATCCTTGTTTAGACAAGAGGCAGACAGCCGTGAGAGAGATGTGAAGACATATTTCTGTTTTATTATCTTTTAGGCATAGACGGGTTTGTTAATCCATTTCCACATACAAGTCCTGTAATCACAGATAGGAAGTGAAACTTGAATTGGCAAAATCTGTCTCCTGTTGCCAAAGAGTTAAATTGAAGAGATGCAACCTCAAAAGCTGAGAATGGTGCATTTATCTTCCTTCCCAGCCTCCGCTGTGCATAGGGCTGCTGTTGCACAAATAAGCTTTCCTTTTTATCCAGGCATTGATTTAATAGTAATGATGTTGTCCCCTTTTTCCCAACAAACTTTTTGCTTTCCGTCCATAGCTCCGAGTTTTGAATGTTATGCTCTCTAGGTTCTGACAGTTGTTTGTGGACTTAGGTACTCATACCAAATGGAAGCCAAGAAATAGTTGTAGTATAAGCCTCTTTCTATTGTCACATTGCTTCTTTCTGCAAATATAACTTAGGAGTTAGACTTTGAACCTTTGATCTCCCACACCAAAAAGAAAAAAAAGAAAAAATATTTATATGGAAGTAATTTCATTTTAGTGTTCATAGTTTATTGTGGAAAGCAGGTGTTTAAAAATTTTAGGATTTCTTTAACAAAATTCTAAAAAGAAAAAAAAAATCACAGTATTTACAGAGATAACAGAACGGCTTAGCCATGCAACACAAATAACTTTGGTTGTTTTCTCCTTTCACTTTGGTTTAAATATTGATGAAGATTCAGTTTTTTTTCCTGCCCAATAAAACTTCAATAAATCAAAGTTTAGAGGCAAAATAACATATTTGCTTTTTCCCATAATATTTTATACAGCATCGAGTCTAATAGGATAGTTTATTTATTTAATCCATACCAATGCACTACAGGAAGCTTGTATTAAACTGAGTCACTATTGCCCAGACAGTAAATGGTTTACAAATGTACAATAACATGTGTTTCTAAATAATGCAGAAGTGGCAAAATATTATTTTCAATCTCCATCTGACTTTAACCTTCAATTGATTTTTCACTGCCTTCATAATTTTTTATCCATCACAATAAAAAAAACAAACACCAGTTTTCCTTTTCCTCCCAAAGAAAACAGAACACCTGGAAATCTGATGTTCATTTTTTTTTCTATAAAGTTATATAAATCCTGGGACAAAAAAGGCTGTGTGGTGTTCTCTCAGAAACCAGGCTTCTGCTTGAAAGAGCAAAGTTTAAAAGTCTAGTCACAAGTAGCTATTGGCCCATATCCAGCCTACTTCAAAAAGTTTCCATTTGTACTACCACCCTAAAAAGTTCCTCAAGCATAAAACATGTTTATAAAGTTACAAATCTGAATGTAACTAAAGATACATAGACATTTTATTATTACACTTTCATGTACTGCTTGATAAATTATGTACCAGTTAAAAACACTAAATTATCTCAAGGTGCATTCAATTATCTGTAGCGTAGTTAACAAAAACACACACGAAAAAAATATATATTCTATATTCTGTGGAAAATAACACAGCTTTGATAATGACCACTGTTAAAAATCTCCAATTCTGATTGATATCTTTGTTTTTTAAAGGAAATAGTTACAATTTTAAGGCAGTGGATAACCCAAAGGATTTAACACCAACTTCTAATTATAGTGATTTACAATGTGATTTATGAAAATGGGAATGTTATCCATGATTTTTCCAAACTGTCTCTCACATATTGTTTTTTTTTTTTCTTTTGGCAGAAAATAATTTACTAGCAGGTGTCTCTAAAGGTAAGTGCTACCCAAATTGTTATGTTACTTTCAGAACAGGCAAAATTATCAGTTTGGGAGTACTATCATTATGTATGTGTGTCCATATGCATGTGTGATTTACTTCTGAGAGTCAGCTGGTGGTACATACACAGAATCAGCTCCTCCAGTGAATGCCAATCTGATTCCCTGCCTTCCCCTCCCTGGTGTTAAAAATCACAGTTTTTGAATAGGGCAATGTGTGTGTTCCCCAATCTTCACAAGCTGCCACCTTTGGGATTTAGGTGCTTGTGAGAAAGTTTGGGGACATTACTGATAGCAATCAGAATCAGAAATGTACCTGCTCATATTATCCATTATAAACAATTGAAATAAAAACATTACATTGTACATCAGATTAACAGCAACTCCCAGAACAAAGCTTACAGTGTATAAAAATAGCTACGTAAAAAATTTACATAAAAGGCAAACCAAAAGGAAATCTTCAGTGCAGACATTTACAGAAAAAAAAATTAAACCAAATACAACATATGACCTATTATCATGGTCGTCAAAACCTGTTGTTACTGTTTGCAATTTCATTTTACTGTTTTACTTGAGATAATTCTCTAAAATCCTGTGACAGCTTGGTAGAATGAACTGCTTAATACTTGAGCCATGAATTGCTGTCAATGTCTTTGTATATGTATTAAATACAATCCACGTTCATGCTTCAATTGGTGTATATAGTTTTTTTCTCTGAAATGATGAAAGAAACATAGTTTAGTATGTAACCATAGAAATCACTTTTCACCATCAAAAGATGCTTTCTACTAAAAGTGATAGGAATTACTTTCCAGAACCTTTCGTAAAACTCCTTTGCCCCTGAACCCATCTGTGATCCCAGGAATGGCTCTGGCCCTTCTCAAATGACTTTCTGCAGTTGTTGAGAATCTTACTTTTGTGAAAACTGGTTAATAATTCATAGGAAGATTAAGGTTTTTTAAAGAAAATAGTTTATTCTGTTTCTCTTCAGGTTAAAACATTCACTTATCCTTCAAATCACACTCTATTTTGTTGGCTTTGTCTTCAAGCTCAATTTTCCTTTGAGAATTTATCCAATTCTGAAGGAAACAGAAGGTAAAAAATCTATGTTTACAAAGGATTGAGGGATGAACCCTAGAGAAACAGAAAAAAAAATCAGGTGGGAATATTACATATTTGGCCTCCAGTGGAAGGCAGGACAGGGGAAGGAATAGAGTTCTTACTTTTTTTGCTGAGTCAGTCTGAAATCCTGGTTTTCAGACTTTAAAAATATCTTCTTTCAATTATTCTCTTACATTCCTTTCCTGTGAATCCTTCCAATCACAATACTTTCTCATGTCCTCTACCTTCTCTATGGGATTGACTTGGGTGAGCCACTTAAATCATGACTAGGGGTTTGCTTATAATGAACCAAATTTTACCATGATTGTCGGGGGTTTTTAGATCAAATGAGTAAGCTATAATACCAGTTATTCTCACAGACACACAAAATAATTTATCCAAACTGGCTTCTCTGGCTGAATCAAGAGAACATAAATAAAAATAAAAAGCTCAAATTTCAAGTGGCAATACCATGGAAACATACTGCTTTGGGAGAGTCTTAAAAATTCACATTCATATAGCTATTATATATGAATATATGCAATATATGCAACATTGATATATATTTTACACACACACATGTGCATTGATACATACACACACATATATATAATATATGCACCATCTGCAAAAGTATGTGTGTATGCATGCACACATGTGTGTATGCACACACATTCATTTTTCATTAAAATGATTTGGGAGATGGCTGTATAAATATACTGACACTTTTAAGTATATTAAGTCCTTGGATTAAAATTTTTGTATTTGAAAATAATTCTCACTGTTGCTTTTTAAAATAAATTTAAAGTATTAGAATCAGCTCTTATCTAACAAAATATCAATTTATAAAATTAAGCTTCTTTGCACTTGGCAAAATTTTTGGCTTTAGAATACAAAATGCTAAGAATGTTAAAAATCTCAGAATGTACTTTAATTATTCAGAGGATAATGATTATTTTTCAGAGGAAGGAGAGACTGTTGAGATATTCTTCTGAGAACACCTTTCTGAGTTATCAAAGTTTCCTTTTGAAAAACTCTTTTCCTGTTTTGAAAGCTGCAATTATGAAGCATTTTAAATGTCAAGGCTTTCCCTTTCATCTCTTACAATGTTTCATACTGTCTTGGAAATTATTTCTATAAACCTCACACAATTTACCCACCTGGACACAACTACAACAGTTTCTCTCTTAGGCTTCTGTTTTGTGATTGTTTTCCTCTAACTTTTTGTTTTCTTCCAGATTACCAAGGTCTTTGTTTACATGTTTTGATGCAGTCCTATAGGAGAAAATTTGTCTGTAATAATGTAACTATGTGTGTATAAATTGAAATTTTTTTTAATTTTAGGGTTCATATTAATGTATCTTTAAAAAGCAAATGTTTTACATCTAATACAGGTGAACCACTCAGGTGAACAATTCTCCATCTGTGAACAGTGACTGGTAACAGAACATGTTCCAATGACATTACCTTGGTAGGGGGTCTGCATGAAATGTATGCTAAGACAAAAATAAATCAATCATTTTGAACACAGACTACATACTTAGTTACATTGTGTTTTTGGCTGGCTTGTTTTTTCTCCACTTTCTGGGAAGTAATTATGATCAGTTGAAAGTCAAAATTTTTGTTCTGGCCAAATACTTTCTGCAAAAATTTTCTGAGGGAGTTTCATCAGGGCTTTTCCCTTTTGGCATTCTCTATTATGCATCCAGGTTGAGCCAATGCCCTGTATCTTGGTTCATGGACTTTGTCTTATTGAATAAATTAAAAGCAAGATTAGAAAGAGACCCAAGTGAAATGCAAATCAAAACCACAACAAAATATCCCCTCACACCAGTCAGAATGGCCCTTATCTAAAAGACAAGAAATAACAAATGTTGGTGAGGATGTGGAGAAAAGGGAACCCTCCTGCACTATTTGTGGGAATGTAAATTAGTACAACTGTTGCAGAAAGCAGTATGGAGGTTCCTCAAAAAAATAAAAATAGAAATATCACTTGACCCAGTAATTCCACTTCTAGGAATTTATGTGAAGAAAACAAAATCCCTTATTTGAAAAGATATACGTGCCCCTATGTTTATTTATATTATTTTATTTATATTATTTAAAATAGCCAATATGGAAGCAACCTAAGTGTCCATCAATAGATGAATGGATAAAGATGATGTGGTACATATACACAATTCAGCGATAAAAAGAAAAGAAATCCTGTCATTTGCAACAACATGGATGGATCTAGAGGGTATTATGCTCAGTGAAATAAGCCAGGCAGAGAAAGACAAATACCATATGATTTTACTTACCTGTGGAATATAAGAACAAATAAAACAGAATGAACAAAACAGCAGTAGACTCATAGACACTGAGAAGTGGCTAGTGGTTACCATGGGGGAGGGGCTGGGCTGGGTGTGTGAGGAGGGTGAGAGAGATGAGGGGGCACAAAAATTCTCAATCATAATATAAGTTGGTCATGGGGATGGTAGTACAACATGAAGAATATAGTCAATGATTCTGTAACATCTTTCTATGCTGACAGTAACCACACTAGTGGCGGTGAGGAGTTAATATGGGTAACTGTTGAACCACTGTGTTGTACATCTGAAACCAATACAAGATTGTACATCAAAGATACTTCAATAAAAAATAAATTAAAAATAAAAAAAAGAAAGACTGGCATCAGTGGCAGAATCTAAAACAGCTCTAATGTTAAGGTCCTACTCCAGCAGCATCAGTGTCCCCCAGGAATTCAACAGAAGTGCAAATTTTGAGGCCCCACAACAGAACTATGGAAACAGAAACTCTAGGCATAGGACCTGCAATGTATGATAAACAAACTTCCTGGTGGTCCTGCTTATGATGAAGTTTGAAAACCATTCCCCTGGTGGCTGCTATGGTTACACCAGCCTAGGTTTTATCCTTTAAGAGCTGAAATCAGGTTTTCTTAACCATACTGCTGAATTCCTTGGTCATGTGACCTCTCAGGAGCAATCATAATTGTATTTTCAAGAGGGTCCCATGTGCTGTTCTCCTTCCCTCCACCCTGCCTCTTTTCCTTCTTGAACTCCCTTCCTCTCTCCCTGTTACAAGCACATCAGGAGAACTCTAATGATACAGCACTTCAAATTATTGTTGCCATATAATCCCTAGAAGTACCTCTACTTTTAATAAATTATATAGTCTCAGATGTGTCTCTTGGTTAAGGAAGCTGGGGCAGAAAATTCCATTTTTCCCTAAAAGTATTTTGATGCTTTAAATTGAATTCCTTAAATCATTTGCTAAGAATCACAACTTTACTAGCAAAAGGGTAGTAGTATGATCGGTGTCCAAGTGAGATAAAGACATATGGCTTATTCAAACTGGGACATTCATTATATTTATCATAAGTTTAATTTAATTTGTGATTTAAAAATTCTTAGTTTAACCTAAAGGACAGACTTCCAAATCTATTCATTAGGCAGTAGAACAATCTCAAATTGCCAACATGACTAAGTCCTATAACATGTGATAATAGTTTACAAGACAGGTATTTTAAAATATAAACGAAAGCATGTTTGAAATCATTTGTACATTTGAGGTTATTTCTTGAGTTATATCATATTATCACATATTTTCTATATTGTACTAAAATGGTACATCATAGTGAATGACAACTTCTTTATGTAAATTTTCCAAGCCAATGGAAGAATAAAATAGATGGCATCTAGATAAATAAAACAGATATAGATAACATCTACATTATATGTATCACAGATGATTTGAGGTCTAGTCTTTTTTGCTAAATAAGTTACTTAAACAATAACTAATAAAGTCTTAGTAACTCCAACAATAAAACATGAGGGGTGGTGGATTAGAATGCTCTCTAAGGACTTCTTAAAAAGCCAAAACTTTCTATAAATCTGTGAATCCTCAGCAAATTGTTTTATTGAGGAATAATATCCATGCAAGATAATATACCTATCAAAAGAGTATTATTCAATGAGTTTTGAACAACTTTATGTATGAATGTAACCAGCACCCAGCTCAAGGAACAGAACAGTTGCAGACCCAGAACATAATACCCCCATTATACTCCCTTCTAGTCACTACCACTTCCTCAAAGGTTATCACAATCCTGAACTCTGAATAATTTTACCTGTTCTTGTAATCTGTATATAAATGGGATCATATCACATGTACTCATTTCTGTCTGCCATCAATTTAAACCCAATCTTATGTTTGTGAGATTCATATATAGTGTTGCATGTAGTTGTAGGTTGTTTATTCTCTTTGCTGTAAAGCTTGTCATTGGGTGAACAAATTGTGATTTATTCATCTATTCTATTGGTGATGGGCATTCTTGTTCCTTCTAGGATTTCACTTACACATAGGTTAGAACTCTTGCGTGTATCCTATGTGTCTCTTAGTCTCTTATGTTCCTATGTGTTTTATGTACTCTTTTTTCCTCTCTACTTCTATCTGGGTGTTTTCTATTGATCCATATTCCAATTTAACTTGTTTGGTGTTCTGTGGCCAATCTGCTTTTATTCATTCACCAGACTTATTTTTTAATATTATATTTTTCAAGCCTAAAATGTCTATTTTATTTTAAAATACATTTGAATGATTTTTCCATTCATCTCCTTTGACCATCTTTTCTTTCACTTTCAATATATTATTTATAGTTATCTTTATGTCCTGTGTTAACTACAACTCCAAATCATGCACAGGTCTGCTTTTTTTTTTGTTATTGAGTGCACTTTTCTTGACTCTTTGCATATCTAGTCCTTTATATTTTATGTATCACCATGTATAAATTAACTATACGGATTCCATACAATGCTCTTTTCCACCAGATAAGGCTCTCCTTTCCTCTGTTAAGCAGATAGGGTGAAAGGCCGATGACTGCAATTCAAGCAGGGCTTGAGCTAGGTTGAGGCTCACTTACAGCTTTAATAAGACTCAGTCCACCTCTAGATTATTTCTATTCCTAAAGCATGGCCCTCTCACGCTTCTGATCAAGATTGTGGTATGCCTTACTTTCAACTCCTAAATATAGAGAAACCCAGCTCTTCCCTTTGGAGGTCTCCACCCAGATCTCTAGCCATCTGTCTCATGACACATCAAGATACAATCGTTATAGTCTCTGGATTTGAGTAAAAGTTCCTTAAGAATAAGGACCTTGTTTTATTTCCATTTTACCCACAGCACATAACACATTGACAGAATATGGTAGGTATCCAAAAAACACTTCTTTTACTGAACTGAACTGACCTTATCACAGTTCATATTTCCTTCTACTATTACTTATGATATTAGTGTTCACCAATATGAAGTGCATATACACCTAGCTGCCTTTTCACAAATAGATAAAAGAGAAAGAATACTATATTGAAATGACAGAACTTGAGTGATATATTGCTCTAATATTTTCAGGTAAAATTGCACAGAATTATATGCAAAAGCATGTACCTTGATTACTTAAATAGCTCCTAACTATATTCCAATATATACTAATAACTATAATTTCTATGAATTAGGACGATATTGTGGTTAATAATCAAGGAAAGCCACACTATTCTCAAAGCCTCTTCTTTCCTGCCTTACTCTCCTTGCATTCTCTCACTGCTCTAATTTTTCTTCCATTCCCTCTATCTCTACTTCTCCTTTCACTATTTCTCTTTCTCTCTCTTTCAAACTCACTTTATTAACTACTATTTCAAAATATGAATGAAAATTCCAACTTGTTTGGAGCCTCTAGAGTGACAGATGAAAGAGTCAATGCTTTGTAGGCATATGTTTTTTAACTAAATTAAATTTATAAAATAAAGTAATGTAGTAAATCAATTTTTTACTTTCAATTTTTTTTAACCTGCCTTGACTGGTATGGAAATGAAATTACCTTAAGGTTGAAGACATAATGATTTCACAACTTTAAAATAAAGCATGGACTATAAGAAGTTCTGGTACTAGTAATTTTTAAAAAACTTGTGTTCAGTTAATCCTTACATTTATAACAATTATAGACTCTCATGAAAACACAGAATGAACTATTTGACTGTACTTGAGAGTAAAAAAAGGAAAATAGAAAATGAAGAGAATTTGACTCACAATGGGGGAGATCTACGTTTACATGGGTTTTCTTTTGAGGGCATCTTCCAACTGGAGAAGCAGAGGCTATACGGAGAACAAAAGCTGGAAGTAAAGGGGGGAAATCTCAGAAAGTAGATAGCCACAGAGTGGTGAGGGCCTCAAATTTGTGTGTAAGCTACAATAAACTCCTTGGATGATTTCTAAGTTGTGAATACGCGGGAGAAATTTCATATAGCCCATCAGAAAGCAACAGCTGAAGAGCCTAAAAACCTGACATGGATTTTAGCTCCTACCCACACTGGTAAAGTCTGGAGTTGAAACTCACCAAGCCAGAATTCCATGGAAAACATATCAGTCTTTCTATTAAAATCTCAGAAAAGCCAAGTAAAGATTATGGGCCAAGATCCAGCATTCACCCTAAGATAGCTGTGTCATATAAAAAGTAAGTAACCTTCATAAGATCAAGGAAATTAGGTAGTAATCAAATTATTTGCTAGAAAAAGAATCCATATTTTTAGAAAAACATAACCAAAACTATAATCTCTATAACATATTGTAATAATTTTAAAAAGGACTAGTATATAATTAAAAATTTAACATATATGTACACACACACACACACACACACACACATATATATATATGTATATGTATATATGACCATGAAGAATAGAAGAATGTACACAAAGTCCAGAGAATGTCCTTGGATGACACAGACTTTGGAAATAGTAGGCAAAAACTTAAAATTAGTTATTATATTACATGTTCCATGTCTTAAAGAAAAATATGGTAACATGAGAGAACAGATATAAATCTCAGCACAAAAAATGTAAACAAAAATAATTCTACACCTTAAAACTGCAATATTGGAAATGAACAATTCACTATTCACTGTCTTACCATCAGATTGGAGGTAGCCGAAGAAAGCCTCAGTGAACTTAAGGACAAAAGATATAAACTGAATATTCTGAAAAAAAGACATAAAGATGATAGGGGAAAAAAAGCAGATCCTCAGTGACCTGTAGGAAAATATCAAGCAGTCTAATGTATGTGTAATTGGAGTTCCTGCAGAAGAACCTAAAGAGAAAGGGACAGAAAATATATTTGAAGAAAAAATGAAAAATTCCCAGATTTGGTGATGTCCATTAACTTGCAGATACAAAAAGCTCAGAAATCCCCAAGAAATAATGATAAAAAGAAAAATACACCTAAGTATGTCATAATCAAACTAATTAAAAACATATTCAAAGAAAAGGACTTGGGAGTAAATTTGTTCAAGGGATGAATGACATGAATAAGAGTTGATGTGTCTCATCAAGAAAAAGTGCTTATCAAAGATAATTAACATCTTTAAAATTCTGAAAGAAAAATCTCTCAACCCAAAATTTTATGTCCAGTAGAAAGACATTTTAAGTAAAGGCAAAATAAGACATATTAAATTGAATGAAAGAAAACTGGGAGAAACCATCCCTAGGAAACCTGTGCAAAAAGAAGCATTAAGGGAAGTTCTCAGTTGAAGGGAAATGACACTAGATGGAAACTCAGATATATAAGAAACAATAAATAGAAACTGTATATATGTGGTAAAGTAGAAATACTGTTTAAAATTTTTTACAAAGACAATGGTTTGATGCTATATATACATAGCATTATATATATGACCCTTGAACTGTTATAACTTCATTTAACTTCCTCTATCCTTTTTGCTATTGTTACCATATGCATTACAACTGCATATATTATAAACCTCACACTACAATTATATGGAGGAGGTTAAATAAAATTTTAATGTTTCAAGGTTTTTAGATTATTACATGAGTAGATGGTTACAAATTAGGAGTTCTTATTGTAACCCCTAGAATAACCACGATAAAATACAAAGAGGTATAATTAAAAGGCGAGTAGAGCAATTAAAATGTAATACTAAGACTTACTTAAGTAACTCAAAAGAAAGCAAGAAGAGAAGACAGGACAACTAGATAACAAATAGGGAGATGGTGGTCTTAAATGTAACTATATCAATAATTAAACATAACTTGGCAAAATCCTCCAATTAAAAGATAGATATTGTCAGACGCTACTATGCATGTAAGCAAAACAACTCAATGCTCTGTTCCCAGGGGAAAATTTTTATTCTGAATGGTCCACATAGTAAATATTTTAGTTGGGCAGGCTGTATGGTTTTTGCTCTAACCCTTCATCTCAGCAGCCTGAGAGTCATAGTTTGATCAGTCTTATAAATAAAGGGATAGAAGAATATATACATGTAGACATTAAGTATATGAAAACAGTATGGCTATATTAATATTAGACAATGTAAAATTCAATGTAAGAAATATTACAGCAATGCAATAAACGTAGTTATTTAATTATAACAAGTGTAATATGTAAGGAAGTCATTATGATTGTTAAGTATATGTTCCTAATGAAAGCATTAAAAAACTGATAGAACTAAAGGGAGAAATAATAGACAAATACACAATCTTATTTAGAGAATTTAACACTCCACTTCAATAGCTAATAGGATAAATGGATCAAAATTCAGTATGCATGATCATGATGAAGTAACTAGTACTAGGCTAAACTCTAGTACAAACTTCTTGCATCATATGTGAAGTGTTTCCTATAATTTAAAAAAATCTGTAAGGATAAGAAGCTTTAAACAAACTTTAAGCTAACATATAGCTATAGATCCCTGTACCCATAAAGCACCAAATCATTTGTTTTTCACATCCACCAGGAAGTACTGTGTACTTGAATGTGCAGCCAAAAAGCAAGCAAGAAAATGAACTATAATGCATTTCAAAGACTGAACCTTACTTAATAGGTTATCTTAACAAAACAGAATTAAATAAGAAATGTTTGGAATTTAATACAATTCTAGTTACATGACTCCAAAGAGGAAAAATCAAGGGGAATTTCTAAATATTTTAAACTGAATGAATATGAAAATACAACACATAGTAATTTGTGAAAAACAGCTAACAAAGTGCTGAGAGTGAAATTTATAGTTTAAATGCTTGTGTTATAAAAAGAAAGGCTAACATCACTAATCTAAATTTTTTATTTACTTTATGAACTTAGAGAAAAAAGAGCAACTTATACTACTAAAAGAAAGAAAACAGTAATAATAAGAGCAAAAGTAATTAACATTGAAAATGAATAATAGAAATAAAAATAAAGCAAAAAATTAGTTCCTGAAAATCATTAAGAATTGATAGCTCCCTTAAAAAGACTGGGTATGATTGTGGAAAGCAGTATGGAGGTTCATTAAAATGCTCAAAACAGACCTACCATTTGACCCAGGAATTCCACTCCTAGGAATTTATCCTAAGAACGCAGCAATCAAGTTTGAGAAAGACAGATGCACCCCTATGTTTATCGCAGCACTATTTACAATAGCCAAGAATTGGAAGCAACCTAAATGTCCATCGGTAGATGAATGGATAAAGAAGATGTGGTACATATACACAATGGAATACTACTCAGCCATAAGAAGTGGAAAAATCCAACCATTTGCAGCAACATGGATGGAGCTGGAGAGTATTATGCTCAGTGAAATAAGCCAAGCGGAGAAAGAGAAATACCAAATGATTTCACTCATCTGAGGAGTATAGGAACAAAGGAAAAACTGAAGGAACAAAACAGCAGCGGAATTACAGAACCCAAAAATGGACTAACAGGTACCAAAGGGAAAGGAACTGGGGAGGATGGGTGGGCAGGGAGGGATAAGGG